GTATTGATAATATGGATCTTGTGTCTTCTTTGTCTTTGTGAGCCTTGCTAGATGTTTGTCACTTTTATTAATCTCATCAAAGAACCAGCTGTTTCATTAATTTTACCTTTTTTCTTTTTAAAATTTCATTGATTTCTTTATTTCCTTTTCTTCTTATTTTAAGTTTGTTTTGCGTTTTTTTTTTTTTTTTTTTTTTTTTTTTTGGTATGGGTTCTTATATTATTGGTTTCATGCTTTTCCTCTTTTCTATTGTAAGTAATACTTAGTCCTTTAAATTTCTCTCAGCACTAATTTAGCTGCTTTCCACAAATTTGTTTTTCATTTTCATTCACTTTACTTTGTCTTTTAATTTCTCCTGAGACTTCTTTGACCCATAGATTATTTACAAGTGTATTGTTTGATTTCCGAGTATTTTGAAACGTACCTATTATCTTTCTGTTACTAGTTGCTAGATTGAATTCCATTGTGGTCAGAGGACACATCTGTATATGATATCTACTCTTACAAACATGCTGCTATTTGCTTTATGGCAAAGGATATTTTCTGTCTTAATGTATGTTCCTGCAGTGCTTAAGAATAACGTAGGATCTCATGTTGTTTGATAGGATATTCTACAAGTGTTAAATTGTTCCTGTTGGTTGATGGTGTTCTGCTATATCCTTGTTGATTTTCTGTCTATTTGCTCTATCAGTTTTGAGAGAGGAGTGTTGACGTCTCCAACTATAATTGTGGATTTGTCTGTTTCTTTTTCAGTTCCATCAATTTTTGCTTTACCTGTTTTGCAGCTTTTACTTGGTTCATACACATTTAGAATCATTGTGTATTCTTCCTTGATTGATCATTATGTAATGTATGTACCTTTGCTAATTTTCGTTGCTCTTAAGTCTGCTTTATCTGATACTAATGTATCCACTGTTTTTCTTTGACATTTGCATGATATATCTTTTCCCATCATTTTACTTTGAACTTGCCTATAACTGTTATGTTTAAGTGAGTTTCTTACAGACATCACATTTCTGGATCACGTTTTTTAATCCACTTTGCCAATCATTGTTTTCTAATTGGTGTGTTTAGATATCTGCATTTAATGTGATTATTGTTATGTTAGGACTTAAGCATGCCATCTTATATTATCGCTTTCTCTTTGTTCTATCTATTTTTCTTTTTTCTATTTTCATTTTTCTGGCACCTTTTGGGTTATTGAAACATTTTTTAGAATTCCATTTTCTTTTACCTGTAGTTACTTTCAAGTATATCTGATAGGATAGCTTTTTTAGTGTTGCTCCAGGTGTTATATATATATAACTTACCACAGTCTACTCATTCTCATTATTTTACTAATTTGAGTGAAATATAGAAATTTTATCTCTTTATATTCCCTTACCTTTCTCCATTTATAATAAAGTTATCTGAACTATTTTATGTACATTTAGAAATACATGAGGCAGTGTTATAACTTTTGCTTCAACCGTCAAACATAATTTAGAAAACTCCAGATCAAAGTGTATTGTTTTAAACCATATTTTGGCATATCCTGTTCTTTCTTCCTGATATTTAAAGGTTTGTTCATGTTTAATTTCTGTTTAAAGAACATCTTTTAGCTGTTTTTTTAAGGGTAGGTCTACTAGTGACAAATTCTCTTCATTTCTGTTCATCTGAGAATATCTTGATTCTTTCCTTCATTCCTGAAATGTATATATATTTATTTGCCTGGCAAATAGTAAGTGCTCAATAAATGCTGTTATTATTATTGTCATTATTAATATCTACCTTAACTTAGTAGCTCTTGAAGGCACTGCTATATTATACTAAGAATATACTTATTGTAAGGCTATTTTATAATTTTGCAGTTTTAGTGGACATGGACAGTTAGTAAAAGGGCTGGTTAAGTTACACAAACTTCATAAGTCCAGAAGCGTCACTATATTACTGCATAGTACAGTAATTGTTCATAATAGTGTCCCTTGTTTTGTTTTTATTAATACTAGATTTTAATCAAATCAAGGTCACAAAAGTTTAATTACTTACCAGAAAATATAAAATATCTCATTTTCTGTAATAGATAAATTAGGCTTAATTGTATCAATGAGCTATCAGAAGAATCATGTCAAGAAAGAGGTCACCAGATTGTCGTAGTTAGCAAAGGACTCTCTCTCAATTAGGAAATTAGTTTTTCTAATGAGACCCAATAACTGCAAAAATTAGAGCATTTGTAACAACATTTTTTCCTTTTCTTAAATACACCACATTCAATCCACTTGTTCTTTTAAATTAAGAACTGAGGACTTGTGTAAAAAATAAAATTTAGTTCCATATTAAAACCAGTTATCAGGAGGAAGAAAGGGAGAGGTATGAGAATAGAGAATAGAAGCAGGATAATTGATGTGTATCAATCACTGTGTCTCTGGTACTTCACAGCTTACACTGGTTTGTTTTTTTGTTTTTCATTTTATACAGGGTTTTTACACATACATTATGTAGTTCCTTAGAATAGTCTTGCGGTAAGGCAATGATCATCTAACCCATTTTCTAGATGAAATGGAGGCTTACGAAGGTGATTTCTTCAAACTCACTGAGCTAAGGAAGTGGCTGAGTTTGAATTCAAACTCAGGTCTTCCGTCTCTTTGAAGAAAGAAATGGGGAGAAAGGAACTGGAAGAGAAAATACCAGTCATTTTTGAGGTGTTGGCAGTATCATTTTACTTTCATTCTACACTCTCATCACCATTTCTTTCAAATGTTGATCAGCTAATTGTTTGTATGACACCTTTACTGAACTATCCTAGAGAGTCCATGTGAATGCCATGGAAATCATTTGCTGAGCTACAGAGGTAGTGACTAAGGCAGTGTCACCCTAGGAGCTCTGTACCCTTAATCTAGACTGCAGAAGATTTTCTTTCTTCCCCTGACTCCCATTTCAAAACTCTGGCAGAAAATAATTAGCCTAAAGGAGCTCCTTGGTGGAATCATTGCACTTGGCCTTGTTAGAAATACAAAGAGTATTATTCACTCGATTATCTAATCTATTTGTATCTAAAAGTTTCTTCAGTATTTACCTTTCTCCGTTAGTTTCCAAAATCTAATTCCCAACAGACTCCACATAAAGACATGGTATAACAGGATATATCCATGGTTTCTCATTCCTTTCTGTCAAAATATGAATGGTTTTTAAAGGCCCCACTTGCTGCAATGAACCAGAAATATCTTTAGATCTTTAACAAAAGACCTACATTTTATGGCTCTGTAAATTCATTTAAATTTGCTTCAGCAAGAGTGAATAATTTATTATAGCAGTAAAAGGAAGGAAATAGGTAGTCGCTTTTCTTAACTAAAGTAATTCAGAATTTCAAAGAATAGCCCTATTTGTAAAGAAATTATGCATATGGGATATGGATGGTTTTGTCTCTGTAAGTAAAATTATTTTTTCAAATAAAAACTAATAAAACCTTAAGACACAAAATAAAGGATGAATTTATAGTGTCTTTGGTACCTATAGTATGTGTGGCAGATTCATGTTGATGTCTGGGGAATTCCTATTTTTAATTTTTATATTAGAAAAAATATCTTTTTCTTACATTTGGAAGGAAGTAATGAGAAGTGAAGGAAGTTTTCATGCAGTATATATAAATGTATTTAGATTATTAAAATAATTAAATTTAAGTGTGAAAAGATAGAGAATGTCTACTTATTTTAGGTAAATATTTTTAGTTCAAATATTTTTAGTACATGGTATTCAGGAAACATGTTTAGTTGTACACAATTTTTTTTTTTTT